ATGCATCTCAGTGCAATTTGACTTCTTTACAGCTGTAGTGAGAGCTGGTTTGTGGGGATTTTTTTTTTTAAAGATGCAGGGAAACAAAATTGCCCAAAGCCATATGGTCATATGGTTTGGGTTGTTTTTTTTTTTTTTTTAATTTAAATTCCCCCCTACCCCCTTAATATTTAAAAAATACAGCTTTGGTCAATTTTGCTCAATATGTATGTGTATATGTATATATAACCATGTGCACACACATAACTACAATAGCTCTGCTTGGACAGCAAAGAATATGTAATGAGTAGTGCCCAGCACTTCAACCAGTGAGTTATTTTTCAAAGTCACTTTGTTGATAAATTGTGTATCACACTTCTTGGAGTCTTAGAGCTAAGGGAAGGGAAAACTGTTATACAGTTCAGACAACAGGTCTTCAAGATCTCACTGGAGCCTGCTATAGGAAAAAATGTGATGCAGCGCATAGCAAGTCCCAGAAAAGCCTAGTAGAGGCCTAGTAATCCTTGCTGGCTTGTTGCTCTTTAGAGCTAGGAATTTGTATGACCTATGGCAAGAGCACTCCTGTTTGGTTATATGCCATTATCCTGACAAGGATATCTTATGACTTCTTGTGAGTCACAGGTAGGTTATACTCTGGACTTAGCTTGTAGGCTGTGTTCTCTGAACATTTTGTGGTTATTTAAAGAGTGTTTCAGGCTGTTCATTCTTCTTAAGATATATTAAAGCTTTACATAGATTTAGTCTGTTCAGAATTTTGTCCTTTTGACCAGGCCACTACGGTGCCCAGCAAACCAGTACTGAGTAGCTTACAAATGCCTTCCTATGCTAACCTGGCCCTGAAGGAGCTGATGTTAAATGAGAAAAGCTTCTTGGGATCCTGTCATGCTAGTGACCGCAACAAAATCTGCTACTGCAGGTAGCTGTCATCATCAGTGTAGCCAGTATATCCCCTTTGGCTAGTGAGCCATTGGCACTGGGGTAAGAATACCAATACCTCTTAAGCTAGTAGGTATAGAATTCTAATATCAAGTCTCTTAGGAATCTTTTAGGGGAAACTGAGTAATACTGTATTGGTCTTTGGATGCAAAAATACTTTGCCGTCGTCTTGAATGACTTGTGGACAGGAGGTAGTTCAGTGGTGCAAGATCTGGGTACGATTTTCCATCTAATAACGCATTAGACTTCCCCTTGCTACATCCATTGTTTTGGGGGGAATGGGTGGGAGGGCTGTGAAACTGATCTTGGGATGATAAGTAGCTCTAAAGCAAAACTAAATGTAGGAAGGAGGCAAAATATGATACTGTAATCCAGACCATAGACAGGTTTTGCTGCTAGAGGCAAAAAGAACTATTTCTGCTGTTTTCTAGCTTTGTCAGTCTGTAGCTTACAAGAGAAGCTGGGGAAAAAAATGATGCCTATTCATGTAGCTCTCATTCTATGTTACTTATGTAGCTGTTAAAAGTAGTGGCTATGATCCTTATAATTTCTTTTTTTCCTCCTCTCCTTTTCCCTCCACCCCTGGTCAGTATGACTTCTCACTGGAAAAGAAAACAATCAAGTGGGCTGAAGATATAAAAAAAAATGAAGCTGCCCAACGAGAAGCTGAACACAAGGCAGAAGTACTAGTGAACTCAAAAGCAGCTCCAGAGGCCAGCAACAAAATGGGGTCCTCAGAAGGACCTTGCCCTGAGGCCATGCTTCCTTGTATTAACCCCATCCTCGCTAGCCTGCAGCACAATAATATTCTTACTCCCATGCCAGCCAACAGCAGTGCTGTGAAGCAAAAGGTTCTCAGTCCACCTCGTCCAAAAGCAGACTTCAACCCAGCTGATTTTGAATGTGAAGAAGACCCATTTGACAAACTGGAATTAAAAACTATCAATGATAAAGAGGAATTAAAAAGTATTCTTGATATTCACGTTGGTACTACTGGGCCAGTTGTTGCCCAGCTGTTAGATAATACTTTGCCCAAAGGAGGATCTGAGTCTGTGTTGCAAGATGAGGAAGTTCTGACATCCATAGAAAGGGCCACGTTGGACTTCAAGCCCCTTCACAAACCAAATGGCTTTATCGCTTTACCACAGTTGGGAAACTGTGAAAAGATGTCCTTGTCTTCCAAAGTGTCCCTGTCCCCTATCACTTCAGTGAGCAATATCAAATCCCTGTCCTTTCCTAAACTTGACTCCAATGAGAGTGATCAAAAATCATCAAAGCTCATGAGCACTTTCCACAGCACTACCTGTCTCCGCAATGGCCCTTTTCTCAGCTCTTTGAAGACCTGTGCTGAGAGTAAAGCTAGTGAACTGAATGGAAACCATATGGTTGGTCTTTCTGCTCTAAATGAGGACAGTGGCATGGAGACATCGACATTATCCTCTTCATCCAGGCTGCCTTCCCTGGCTGTGTCAACAGTTTGTACAGAAGAAGAATCATCTCAAAGCACAGCAACTGCGGTAAACATGCAGTGGATTAGAATCAGGGTTGCTGGGGAGATGTGGAGATGTAGAGGCAAATGTTGCTTCTAAAATGTCCTGTGGTTTTAGGTTCATTTAATGGGAGCGGTGTGTATATCGTGTGGTAGTTCCTCTTCATTTATGTGGTAAATTGATCAATCAAACAGATCTTCATGCTGGCAGTTCTGAACCTCAGATTATTACTCTGCAGGTTTCCCCTGTTTTAAGTCTGGTGACTTTTCTTTCAGCTTTTCAGCTTGTTCATAGTCGCATACCTTTGAGCTAAGCATATGAGATCTTCTTTGTACAGTCCTGCATTCTGTCTTATTCAACTGAGATATATCAGATTCTGAACTGCTCTTAGGTTTTGAGTTAAATCTCTGCTAGATTTGTTCCTCAGCTTGGTTATTTATTTGCTGGAAATAATGGGAAATGCAGACTTTTCAAGGAGTAGAAGCAATAACAAATTAAAAAACACACATGCTGTGTCATTCAGGGAAGAAAAAAAGGTGCTTGCAGTAAACCTACAATGAAAGAATTGTCTGGGGTTTGTTTGTTTTTGTTGGTTTTTTTAATCCTTAAAAACATTTAAAAGAATGAAAATAATGGTTTATTAATTTACCTTCTTCCTTATAAAGGAGAGAGGAAGGATTGCTTTGTGGATACTAAAAGCAGTCTTGAGGATCATATTAGATCACTAATGTTACAGTTGGTTGCTGTACAGCTCTGAGACAGTAGTTTGATGCTTCATTTCCTCGAACTTGTAGGAAATTCTAAAATTACTTTGAGGACGCTTAACTTCACACCAGCTGTTGTCTTTTTGTTTCTTTGTGAATAAGGGCAGAGATCTAAATAAGCTTGTGGATTTTTTTTTTCCAAAGAACTGAAGATCTGGACACCAATACTCATGAAGCGTAGTGGAAACGGTATAGTCAAATCCCCTAGCTGGCTCTAAAACAATTTGGCTTCTTCTGTCCAATATAAGCAGTGCTTCAGTGGTTCTGTGGCCTTACTGGCATACTGTAGGTTTTTGTGTGACACTATGTGCTCTGAAACAAGTGACGCTGCTTCTCTCCTGTTGTTCTTTCTCCTCTTTTCAGGCTTAGGTAAATGCATTATTAATTGCAATGTACAGTATACTGGTAACTATCAGAGCACAGCAGAACAGCTGTTTGTTGATTACTAGAACAAATTTAGTACAGTAAACTTTGGCAGAAGCAGCAATGCGCTGAAAAACTACTCGCTGCTACAGATCACAGGTTTGAGAGGCGTTTGTATGATCCTATGTAGCTCAGAGGTGAAACCTCAAAGTATGATACATGACACATCTCTGGGGATTAACGTGAAAGATCACTTACAGCTAGATAGATGGGCATTTGGATGGCCAAATTTCACTCTAACTATTCAAATCTTTGTGCTGGATTAAAACTTCTTATTAAAGATCAAGAGGGAAGGTGTGTTTTCAAGAATGCCGTGAGAGAAGATACAAACTGATAAACAAGCAAATGATCTTATTAGGAGAAGTAATAAAGATCATAATTTGAAACTATTTCTGCTTTGGAAGTTACAAACCAAGAAATAGGTATGCTGACAGAGCTAGTTCTTTCTGTTTCATTTCCAAGACTTCAGAATATACTTGTTTCATGTTTCTACAATATGGTCCAAGTGGTTGGAAAATGACAGCTGAGCTGTGAGAAATTGAAGTAAATGTAGCCAAAATCCTCAGAGTATAAAAATGATAGAAGGAAGTCACAGTTACCTCTGTGGCTGGGAGCAGAAGGGTCATGTGTCCCTTTTCTTGAATGTTATGCAAGAATAGGCTTGTCCTTTTTAGAAATACTGGGACATAAAATTGTCCTGAGGCTATTCCACAGTGATTTTATATATAAATTTTTTTCTCACAAGGCTAGAAATTGTAACTTTGGAATTGGAGTTACTACTGTAGTTTATACTTTACCAGTGAATTGGATCTAGAGTCTTTTTTGGATGAAAATAAACTTGTGACGCTGCACTGATTCTGTCCTGGGTGGTCCCCTCTGAGTATTTTTTTTGAAGCTCACTGGTTTGCTTTTGGCAGCATTGGCAGAGGGAGAAATGACTAGTGAAGACAACAGGTTGGAATTAAACAAAGCTTGTCAGAGGCCCGATGAGTATGATCCATTTCCTTTAGGGAAATCTCAGGTTACAGGAGGATGGGGCAGTCCTGGTTGGACCATTCAGTACATATACTGCTGCATTAGTGTGGTGTGTGTGGGCACACCAGCTGCAGGCATGGCCTCTGTATGAAGTTCCTAAATGTAGGCGCAGTGTGCAAGTACATACTGAAAGCACTGCACGTCTGCTTCTTGAAAAGCACTGAAATGCAAGTTTGAGGTGTAAGGGAGTGTAGCTGCTGAGTGACCAGCCCTGGCTTTGTCCCCTGCAATTTCTTTTAGGTGCTTCCTTCCACTGGAAGTCACTGACCACAAGCACAGGTTGTAAAGGTCAAGTACTTTGAGGAGGAAGAGATGGTGTCAGAAGCAGTTTTGGTTTTCCTGGCTGCAGCATCAATAACAAAACATCATCCTTCAATTTGATAACTGGCTGATTTCAGGGCTACTCCAGACGCTCAGTTTAGTGTGTACCACATTCTAGTGCTTTTTGCTCTGGCAAAAGTGCCTGGTGGAAGGAGGTGTGTAAAGAGCTTTGAACCCTTCTACCACCATGAGGAGAGGTTCTTGGGTAAACCAGTCCATCAGACTGAATGTGATTTCTTGGGCTTTGTCTCCTAGAAGATAAATTCTTACCTTGGAGATGAAAATGGGCAGAAATGCAGAACAAAGCCTTTTCTTTTTTTTTTTTTCTTCTTCCCCTCTCCCTTCCAATAGATGGAATTTGCCAAAATCATACTATATATTCTCAAAGTTGTTTTTCTATAAATGGTTTTTTGTTGTTGTAGTGTGTTGTGGCTATGGGTTTTTTGTGTTTGTGTTTGAGTATTGTGGTTTTTTTGTTTGGTTGTTTTTTGTTTTGGTTTTGGTTTTTTTTTTTAGTTTGGGCCCAAAAAAGTTTTTTTTCTGAAAGAAGTGGACAAGCTTTCAAGCAATCTATGTTGGCTTAAGAAGATATTAAGGAAAGACAATAAACAGAGGCTCTTGGTCCAAAGCAACTTCTTTGCAGTCTTCTAATTTGACTTAAGTAGATGAACTGAAATGTGTAGGGGGCAAATGTGATGGGGCAAAGTTCTGACTTTGCACTCCTGGTGTCTTGGGCAAAGTCCTATGAAGCAGGTGTACAGCAGGGAATGTTACCCAGCTTTGTTGGTGTGCTGGGAATGGGACCAAGGGTTAGGCATTGGTAGAAAAACCACATGCTCTTTTTAGCCAGTGTACCACATTGCTCATATATGGTTCATGAAATGCTGTTTTTTGAGAGTAGAAAAGGGTATATGTTTCTCTTACCCCTTTTCATGGTCCAAAAAATCAAGGGAAGTCTCTAGGCAATGATTTTAAAATTATCACTGTCATTCAGGCAGTGCAGCACTGGGTGGGTTAAGAGCTGAACAGGAGCCAGCATGTTACACTGAGCTATATGAACATGTAGCAATCACAGTGACAGAATAAAAAAAAATTGCAATTATTGCGAGGGGGGGGAGGGGACACGGCAACACATGCTTCTTGGAGTATAATCTGGTTTTGTAAAGTGCTGAGAGAAGAAACAATTCTTACGATGGCTATTCTATAACTACACACAACTGTCAGACGTCCACATCTCACATGGGGAAGCCTCATCAGATCACAAGTCTCCCTAGTATGATAGACTTATTCTCAGATCTCTCCCATAAAACCCTTCTCCCCCAGCTGCAGCAAATTCTGCTCACTGGTGCATAATGTTTATAGTCATCTTATTTGTGTGTTCTCCAACAGGTACACTCAGACTACAAGGAAACAGAAATCCCTGTGGTAAGTTCCCAAATATCTGTGTGCTTGCACTGGAGATTTTCAGAAACGTGATCCAGTAGTAGTGTTCCTTCAAGTACAAAAAAATTATAGATGACAAGTAAACTTGGGGTGTAGGAAGCAATCTCCATGCTTCCTCTGAGGTACAGGGTTTAACTATATCATAAGGTTTGGTATTGAAAGGTTTTCATCCACTGGTAGGAAAGGGTATATTGTGAAGAATCTGGGTTGTTGATTGTTGTTTTGAGGGTAAAAAGAGTATGGTGGGAGTCAGACTATGTGCACTGCTTGGTTTCATCCTAACAGTGAATAACTTCTCAAGGACAGTCTAAAAATCCTCTTGGATTAATTACATGGGCTATCCTGGTTCTGCACTAGCCAGAAACAGGATGTGGGGATGCAGAAGATAACCCAGAGGCTGAGGTGATGGTCTTCCGCTTTAGGTAATGCACCAAAATTTCCCTGTGTCTAAAGTGCCCAATAACACCAGCTGCACAAAGTGGTCAGGTGGCCTCGCTCCTGAACTACAACAGGTCCTCTCTGCTAGTGAGAGGCAGTGTGTAGAGACGGTCATCAACATGGGGTACTCACCTGAGAACGTCCTGAAAGCCATGAAGAAGAAGGGACAGAACATAGACCAGGTAAGAGCTTGTGCAATGGGGAAGAAACCCTTGCTGATTCTGATGAGAAACAATTTTGGGTTTGCAAAATGGACAGGGAAGAATACTTTTATTCTAACAAGAGGTTGCAGCCTGTAGCCGCTGCAATATTAACTGCTAGAGAAGTTGTCACCCGGCAGTAAAGGCTCCCAAAACCAAAGAGTGTCTGCGCGTGTTTCTGATGAGAGACTACTTGAGTTGGCCACACCCGTGGGTGCTGGGTTAGAGTTGTGCTGAGCTTGGGATGGGCCCTTAGCTTCATGTGAAGCTGGGAGTGATACTGGACCTTGCCAGGAGCCACAAAACTATCTGAAGGAAGCTTAGCATGGCTCTGTCATGTTTAGTACCATGTGACAAAAAAATGGCCAACTTCCCTTGTTCTGAGCATAAGGGATTACAATGCTGATGTTTCTCCTTGTAGAGAGAGATTGGCCCCTGCAGGTTTAGGACAGTCCTGAAAGGTGCTCTCACAAGGCACCACTGACTGACTTTCTTTTGCGTGCTGTGGTTGTGGTGCTTCCTGCCTCATGTGTTGCCTCAAACACTTGCTAAAACCAGGTCACATAGCATAAAGCCCTGCAGGGTGAAGCATGACTCTGGGTCTTGGATGCACTTCAAACACTTGAAAATGAGGAGAGTGTGGCCAAACTTTCCATGCTGACTGAGGGCAGGCTGGGTGCTGTGCCCGTCGAGGAGGAGTGTCCCCAGTGACGACTGCTTGTGGAGTTGATCTGTTTGTTTGCCCACTACCTACGCATTGAGAATGGTTTAAGCTGTGCACTGGAGTGAACTGTAGTATCAAATGGAAAAAATGTCCCTTAGGAGGGCAATTTTAAATCCTGCTGTATTTGCAGGCTGCATTCTTTTGCATCCCTAGCATTACCTATCTGACCTTTCCCATACCTCTCAAAACTGAGGACGGATAAGAAATTCGGCAGCGATTTCTGGGTGTGTGAGCTGGGATTTGCAGCTCACTCACCAGTATGCTGAGTTGATCTTAAAAGGCTGACTGCTTTCAGATTGCATCAGCTCTTGTGGCTGTCTGAGAGGAAGCTAAAAACTGACCTATCTTGACTGCTAGACCTACAGTTTCATTTTAAAAACTTGCAGTATAAAAAGCACAGTTAAACTTCTGCCTTCTGCTCAGTGATCAGGCACAGAAGGCTAAAGATAGGCTTCTGAGACTGTTTTGACTAGAGTGGAAGATGATGTTCAGAGCTGGTGGGAGAGCAGAGGGGGACAGAAGGACTTGTTTGTTTTCTCTGTACAAGCTCTTGCATAAAAAGCATCTCAACTCTACTAGGAAGGACTTTATTTCAGTCCTTGGTGGAGCCTGGGGTAGTCATGCTCAGCCCCTCTGTGTGTACAGAGATGGTATTCAATGCTGTGCTGCAAATGCCACTCTGTGAACTTAGCTTTTCTTCATTCCCCACAGGTTTTGGATTACTTGTTTGTTCATGGACAACTCTGTGAGAAGGGCTTTGATCCACTTCTTGTTGAAGCAGCTTTGGAACTGCACCAGCATTCAGAGGAGAAGGTGAGGGAGCAGTGTGCTAAGGAATAGAGAGAATGTGCTGTGATGAGGAATTCTAGCCACAGTTCCTCTGGCTGATGAAATTCTGGCTTTCACGGTAATGCTGCCTTGTTTCCAAAACTGGCTGCTGAAGGACATCCTTGCGGTGATAAAGTGAATATATGTTAAAGCATTAGAATTCTTCTGCATTGCTTTATCACTCTCACTTGCATGCATTTTTATGGGGACAGGATTTTTTTTTAAAAGACCTTGTTTATTCTGTTAGTCATGTTTTGAACTCACCCCTCTTGTGGGCAAGGTGCTTGGTACAGCAACCTGCCCTGGCTGTGAATTTTCTCCCCTGTACAAATGCATCTGCCTGGCTGCTCAGCAAATTGGATTAGTGCCCTGTCTGGAAGAAGCTGGAAAATATGTTTTGTTGGGATCTGGTTCATTGTCTGGCTGTTTTACCAGCACCAAAAGTACAGAGTCAGGAGCAGGTAGCCAGGGCAGAGGACAGCAGGATCTTTTAGTTTGCCAGCCTGTTGTGTGCCAAATTTATTATATGAAATATTTAGAGGTGCAGCCCAACACTCTCCCAACATATATTTCTTGAACTTAGTGATGAGCTTGCAAACAGAGGAACAACAGTGTGAAGATGGGAGAAGTGACTGAGTTCAGGAAACACATTTGCTACTGGCTTAACCTCAAAACTTGAAATGGTTAATCTCCTGATCGCACATTTCAACCTGGGATGGTTTGGTTTTGGTTTGATTCTTGGTTCCTGTCATACCCCCATAAAGTGGAGTGGAGGGCTCTGTAAAAGGCAGAGGGTTCATAAAAGTCTTCAGTTGATTCACTTTTTACTTTATTTTTTCAGAACTTGGGGAGGATTTGTGCTTGATATTGGTAGTATCGTATACAGCATGTGCAATAGGATTTGTGCTAATCACTTAAGTGATTGCCCTAGATCATAGAATCATAGAATGGTTTAGGTTGAAAGGGACCTTAAAGATCATCCAGTCCACCCCCCTTGCCATGGGCAGGGGCGCCTCCCACTAGACCAGGTTGCCCAAAGGCTTGTCCAGCCTGGCCTTGAACACTTCCAGGGAGGGGACATCCACAACTTCCCTGGGCAACCTGTGCCAGTGTCTTACCGCCCTCACAGTAAAGAATTTCTTCCCACTATCTGCTCTAAACCTACTCTTTTCCAGTTTAGAACCATTCCCCCTCGTTCTATTGCTACCTGACCTTGTAAACTGTCCCTCCCCAGCTTTTCTGTAGGCCCCCTTCAGGAACTGGAAAGCTGCAATACGGTTACCCCAGCGCCTTCTCTTCTCCAGGCTGAACAGCCCCAGCTCTCTCAGCTGATCCTTGTAGGGGAGGTGCTCCAGCCTCTGATCATCTTTGTGGCCCTCCTCTGGACACACTCCAACAACTCAATGCCCTTCTTATATTGGGGGCTCCCAAGCTGGATGCAGTACTCCAGGTGGGGTCTCATGAAAGCAGTGCAGAGGGGCAGAATCACCTCCCTTGACCTGCTGGCCACACTTCTTTTGATGAGCCATTTGATAGCAAGGGCTACTGTACTGTTCCCAAGGTCAAAGTAATGTTAAAAAATTCAGATGCAGCAGCTGATAAATGGGGGAACAGGGTGATAAATTTCCCACTGGGAGAGACACCTCCACAGATTGAGCTTTGGTGCCCTTGCTGAAGAGGGTTTTGAAAATGTAGGATTGCAAACACAGGGGACTGAAGGTGAGGCTTTGTGGGCTACTGCACCCAGAGCTCTGCCGGCTCTCATGTGAGTGGACTTTCTCCAAATGAACTGGAACAGGCTGTACTTGGGGAGTAGGAATCCATCCCATGGGGTGCCCAATCACTGAAGACTGGCTCTGTGCTAAACCTCCACCAAGTACTGATCCTATTTTCTCTTGCAAATAACGGACTGTCTGTGTCTTTCAGATCACAGAACTTCTCCAACTAATGAGTCAATTTAAAGAAATGGGTTTTGAACTAAAAGACATTAAGGAGGCCTTATTATTACATAACAATGACCAACACAATGCTTTGGAAGATCTAATGGCCCGTGCAGGAGCCAGCTGAAAACGCATTTCTGGATTCTCAGCATGCAATGGAGCAGGACCAGCCTCGTCACCTTCACATCCAGTGTGACTTGCTCTCGGCAGGAAGGAGTCCAGCTTTTTGCATACAAGTGAGAGTGACTGAACAAGCCCGCCCACGTGCATCACTCTAGCATTTCTCTTTCCACTGAGAGCCAACTTTTTCTTCAGTTAAGTTTTTAAAGTGTCCTTTCCCAAGTTTCTTTTTCCAGCTTGGCTACAGAGTTTAGACTGCCCAACCTCTACTGGAATTGTACATAGGTACTGACAGGAGTGGTTTCTCCTTCTCACTGTTGAACTGGAGTTGGACAGAAGGACACTAAGTTGGTTCTGAAACTAGGATGCTTTCGTTCTTTGAAGCTTCTTTCATGGTGTCTGCTTGTACTAAATTACTTGACTGTGTCATAGTCCAGATTAACTGATTAAATTTGACCTTTAGTGCAATAGTTGTTTGTTGTTTTTTTTAACAGAAAGTTAGTCTTAATAAAGTTAGGCTTAGTAAAACACTAGTTTAGAAACTGTTGCTATGCATAAAAAAGAGAAGCTGTTCCTCTTGTGATTCCCACACCCTCCCCCCTCCCCCC